CTACATCATGATCAAGGGAATTCCATTTCTTCGTTGCATGATCACACAACTTAACGCTTACCTCTTCAACTTTCAATTGCTCTTCAAAGCAGGCGACAGTAGAATGCCCATGAAACCGCGTTCAATTCAGGGCACTATACCGCCTCGTGGTGAGGAATTAGAAGATTCCAGAACGTCGGCAAATTGGGCGTCTAAAAGTCATTGAGTGACAAGCGTGACATTGCTTCCTGAACCGCAACCATCACCATCGTCAGGGAAGAGTTGATAAACGTGCGTATCTGTATTTCTTTTAAGTGGAGTGGAAGACTGAAAACTGGTTATAGCTCTAGCCACTGACTGCTCAGTCATGAGCGAACTGCTGCTGGTAGAGGCGCCTCCGAATGCATCCTCCCCAATCCAAGCTTTGCCCCCAGAAATCCTTTCCAAAATTCTCGCCTTGGTCCCCCATACAAACCGTGCTGGTTCCTATCATTGGAATATGGCAAAGTTGGAGTACAAGAGTGAATTTCATGTTCGTCCGCCAGAGCCATTCTATCACTCTAGTGCCCCCTCATATTCCCTCGGTTCGGATTTGGGCGGCGTGTGCCATAGCTGGCGTAACGTGTCCACATCGACACCAGCCCTTTGGTCTTATCTTTGGCTGGACATATGTGATGAACCGAGATTCGCTTATCCAGCACACACCATTGAACGCTTACAAGCACATCTCGAGCGCTCTAAATCCCATCCTCTCACAATCACCCTCAATCTAATGTGTTTGTATCACCAAGGCTTCGGTGACTTCATGGAAGCATCAGAGGGGATCCATGTCGGCAATGAATTGCTTTCATGGAGGCTCCTTCAGTTGGTTCTTAATCACGGCAGTCGAATTCGCGCTCTTTATCTCTATTCAGCGGAGATTGAGGAATACGATTTTGCGTTGTATACGATCCCTCATATTCGCAATCGCCTCGTGAATCTTGAACATATCATCCTTCACCTCCATCCTTTAGGGCCCCGGAATGATCCTGACTGCATTCCCCAGGCGCTTTCTGAGTTACCACTCTTACGCAGATATGACCATTACACAACATACGAACAACCACGGTTTCCAAACACCAACTTAACTCATATCACTATCGACCACATGGATATCTCGCATTTCTATTCAGTCTTGCGCGAGCTCCCATACTTGACATCAGCAGACGTTCGTCTGGTCGACGGCGGCAGTTATACAAATCCACGAAATGATATCACGATTCCTTCTCCCTTGGGCTTACGTACGTTGCGGGTGTTATTCAATGGTCGTTCCTTTGATGCTTACACAAGCCTCATCAACGTGCTCAACTGCCCGGCTTTGACCACGCTGTCGCTTGACGAGTTTTGCCCTGTTCATCACTACTGGAACTCGCAATACAAAATATACTATCCGAGAGGCCTTGCACAGTTTATACTCGCATTCGACTCCTTCATCGCGCGGTCTCCCGACATCGAAAGTCTTCGAATTCAGCCGATATACTTCAAGGGCGACGATGTGCTCGGGTTCCTTAGAAACATGCCACGTCTTGTTACATTGGAGCTCGTAAATGAGGAGATATCGAAGGAGTTTTGGTTAGAGATGGGTAGTGGGGACCTGGTTCCAAAGCTAAGGGACCTCCGCTTTGAGACCCATTTGAAGCACTTTGATTGGCTCGCACTTGGGGAGATGCTTCAGCGGAGGAAAGATCGCGGACTTCGGTCTGCCTATGTGAGGCTCAGGAATGAAACGGTACCGGGAATAGATATCTGTTTACTGGGACAGTTACAGGTCGAAGGACTGGCGGTTCGAGTCGTATATTCAAGTCTAAAGGACGAGGAGAAAGAATTACTTGGGTATAGGATTCAATGTTAGCTACTTATGTCCTGTTCTCCTTTGATCACCTATCACGAATCTCGAGTTATATCTTGTACATCATCTCTCCGTTTCCTGTCTTCCGAGTGCTCTACTGTGATGAAACATTACCCGACATATATCGTACTGTAACACCCCCTTCTTTTTACCATTCCTGGACTCCGATCTCGCATGTACAAGGTAAGCGCATCCTCAGAGTATGCACTGAAACACTAGACAACCCCAGAGAAATAATTGCGGTAGAACAAACCTATACTCGAACAGGTAACTTATACTCGACTCCGGCTGTATAATTGGCAAGGTCAAACTACTTGTAACCTCATAGCTATGTCTTTCAAAGTCGGAAACCTTGGCTTTCGTATTTATACGAACGAGATTGTTGCCAAAAATGAGATATCACTGGAGAACCTTAACGAAATCATCACCCAGCATACCGGGGTTTATTGTGATAGACGAGGGAGTGTGATAAGGTGAAAAAGGTCGGATTATCCCACCTGCAGCATAAAGAACGGCGATTGGATGAATACTCTCGGAATGACGTTAAAAGTAAAAGCCACCGTCCTTTGCGAGATCACAGATGGAAGCTGGCGGAGGCACTCTGTTCATAAAATATAGACACACACCTTGTCTTCTTCGCTCCAAGCATATCCCCCAATTGCGAGTGAAGTCGTACTGTAAACGCTCTAAACCTTATATCCTAACCAGTGAGCGTGTGATTACAGCCAAGAATGTCTGCTTAGGAACGAGCTCCCAAGTATCGGGACGTCACTTGCGAATGTTCGATATTGGGCCTGCAGTACATATACATGCCTTGCAAAGCCGCACAACTTGACCTTCTAGTGTCCGCATCCATATCGATAGAGACGTTTACCAACGGGAAGATGGGGGAAGTGTGACAAGGTGAAAAACCAACACGAGAAGGATATGAATAGATCACTCTGGATCGCATCGTGAATGTCGATTCCATCCGAGGGCGATGATTTAGTGGAAAAAAGAAGGGCTCGCGGTGATACACGGGCGCTTCTTTGGTGTCAGGTGATGGCGATTCTTGATGCCACGTGGCAGGAGTTCTCTTTTTCCTCGACGACGATGTCGTTGCGCCTACTCTCCAACGACGGCGTCATTTCAGCAACCTTTTCATCGAACACCCGAACACCATCGCAGGATAATTTTGCAGAGTTGTCAGGGATAAAGGACTGATAGGTAAGCTATCTTCTCGATCTGTTTCTTTTTTTTATCTAACGGTCAGACTAGGAAAGTACGGGCTCAAGATGGTCAACGAGCATGCTACCACGGCTTCGATGCCGCGAAGACGATGAGCTGTATAGTCTTGGAGGTACGCTCATCGTTCTCTTCTGGTGATATGGTCTACGAGCTAACTTTTCTTCGGCAGGACTCCCAAACACCGGTCCCGGAGACGCAACCTGTCTTCTGCTCCTAGAGGAAGTCAACACGACGCTCCCTTTGAACCCTTTCCACATGCTAGCACCCTTTTCAGCGTCTATCTAACGACATATACCAGTACCTCTCGCTTGCCATACGCCAGCTCGAACCTCCCGGAGCGCTCTTCTGTTATGACACCAGCCCTCGATACCTACACTACTCCTTATGTGACAAGATGTTCACGTTGCTTCCTATCCGTCTATTTCCCATCCCCTTCTGTACCCGAGGTTGAGAGCCTTCCACTGCGCTCGCTCTCCTTCTCACGGCGCTGTTCTATCCCCTACCTGATCTCCGTTCTGCATCATACCTCGTACATACTCTACCGCTTCATTTTCGTTCCTGAAGGCCTGACGCTGTCTTTCCAGCGCCTACCTCATTTTGGCGCACACCAGGAGCGGGTTTTCGTTTGTCGTCGTGTTGCTTTGTGCTTCCCCATCCCTCGTTACCATCTCACCCTGTATCTCGTACCTCAAGCTCCCCGTTGTGTGTGGAGAACAGAACCTTCGACGTCCTCTCCGCCGGCTGCGGATACCACATAGCCTGATTCCTTATACACCCATGGCGGAAAACCAGGCTATAGCACGATTTCGAGCGATCGCACAGGCCTGGGGAGCAAAGTCACCGTGGTGTGGATGATGTCGAGGGGCGTTATGGGTTGTGAATGGTGTTGTTGTGAGGTATGTAGTATCTGTTCGTCTCAGGTTTTCAGGATTAGTACTAACTCTGAACCGGAAATAGACATACCCGTGTTGATTGTTCTCAATACCGAAGATGTCCCTTGGCTTCCTTTCAACCAGCTCCTTCCCTCTCAACGCCCGCCTCTTCCAGTGGAGATATCGTTCTGGTTCAAACACCCACATGTCGCTATGAACGTTGGGGCCTAGTATATCACCTTCCGGGTATCCCATAACCTTCAACCCCTCGCCCCCGTCACCCCCGTCGCCCCATAGCGAGGAGCCATTTCCTTTTCCTTCATCGAGCGTGTACCGGGACCGATATACCAGATGTCAGAGAGCTGATTCCGAGGAATGAATGGTGTTGTAGTCATCGTTTTGGGTTTTCAGCTTGGAAACGCGAACAGAGTGAACGTCGACCCGTACTACCTTCCATCAATACCTGTATTCCCCAACTCCATTTCTACACCCCTTTCTATCCCTCCATAAGCACCTCCTGCTCTCGTCCCTCGTCTATCCATGGCGCCCAACCATAGAACCGATGTAACTCGTCGAAGATATGGAGTTTTCGGGGCCGCTATTACAAGGAATGGTGACTGGTGGTGTATTTGTTCGTTTTGGGGTGACTGGTTACGAGGAGAGTCTGGTTTGGGTTTAGGTTCTCGGGGGTTTGGGAACGGGAATACAAACGAAACCGGGACCACATTTGATGGATACCTGGATTCCTCAACTTCATTTCTACTACCTCTTTCCTTTCCGATTTCGTCTACTCTTCATCTTTTCATCCGGAGGCTTTCCTTCGTCGTTATCACCCTGACACCACTTGATACCCTTACATCTCTTTCATGGGGTCACCTTCTCGATCCATAGGTCGCATCTATCTCTATGCTTGTATCCGTGTTTATCCTGGTGTTGGGTACTTGAATACATCCTGTGTTCCGATTGGAGATCTGGCAATGTCACAGGGTTACACTGCGATTGGCAATACAGCAAAAAGAAGGGCATGACGAGATCTCCCTGGCTGGGAGTCGAACCCAGCTTTCGCGCGGTGTACAAAGCAGGTGTTAGTGACAGGCGCGTGTACTAACCGATATACTACCAGGGAGGTGTCAACCAAAGAATCATACCGATTTCGGCTGCTTCAAGAACGGCGATGTCAACATTAAAGCCACTGTCGATGAGGGAACGTTTCAGGCTCAAGAATTGATACCGAAAATGAGGCATTGGGGAACGTCAAAGGAATCAAGGACAGGAAATGGTATTCGTCACATACTTAGCTTTCTAATCAACTAAAAGCAACGGGAGTAGAGAAGGAGTAGGAGCGTCAAGTTTGAGGTCTACAATAGACGGTCATCGCAGAGACATGTTAGTTGCGTGTTGGGGATACAGGATAAATGTTTACATATTTATACCCGAGTAGTTCCCTTTCTCCGTTCTATGGTCACACAACTCTAATGACTGTCCCTTCAGCTTGTAGTAACTACTCTGCTGAACGAATAACTAAGACCAGCACATCTAATCAACTTGATAGCATTTTGTGATAGTGGTAGCAGGTTCATTTTCGGGGGGCTATGCCGCCTCGTGGCTAGGAAGAACGTCACCAGATTGGGCGTCTAAAAGTGGTTTGATTGAGTCAACGGGTGACAAGCGTGACATTGCTTCTTGAACTGCAACCACTACCATCGCCATAGAAGAGTTGATAAACGTGCGTATTTGCATTTCTTTCATTCTGAAGAGAAAGAGTCTAAACTGATGCATTGAAACAGACAGCTCTAGCCGCTGATCGCTCAGTTATGAGCGAACTCGCTCTCGTAGGGGCGCGTTCGAATGCATCCTCCCCAATCCAAGCTTTGCCACCAGAAATCCTTTCCGGAATACTCGCCTCTGTTCCTAATTCAATGGGATACAGCTCCATTGGTTGGGAGATGGCAAAATTGGAGTGCAAAACAGAATTTCATATTTTGCATTCAAAATCAAGCTCCTGCGCTCCCTCATATTCCCTCGGTTCGGATTTGGGTCGCGTGTGCCATACCTGGCGTAACGTGTCCTTGTCCACGCCAGCCCTTTGGTCTTACATTTGGCTGGATGTATTTGACCTGCATCCCTATCCAGAATGTGCCATGGAACGCTTACAAGCGCATCTAGATCGCTCGAAATCCCATCCTCTCACAATCACCCTCGATCTCTCGTTGGATGAACAAGCTTTCGGGAAATCCATGGCGTCATCTGAGGGGACCCATGCCGACGATGAGCCTGTTTCGTGGAGCCTACTCAAGCTGGTTCTTAATCACGGCAGCCGCATTCGCTCTCTTTTCCTCCTTTCCGTAAATTTCGAGACATACTCCCTTGCGAATGCTGTGATCCCTCATATCCGGAATCGCGTCATGAACCTCGAACACCTCATCATACAATTGTCTGGGTATGGGGAGGATACTTATTACGTTGCAGAGGCGTTCAAGTACTCCGAACTACCGCTCTTACGGAGATTTGATAACTGCGAAGCATCCGGTCGACCACGCTTTCCAACCACCAATTTGACTCACATCACTATCGATCGCACAAATCTCGCATATTTCTATATCATTCTGTGCGAGCTCCCATACTTAACGTCGCTAGACGTTCATCGCCTTGACAGCCACTGGCATACAACCGTACCCAACGATATCACGATTCCATCCCCTTTGCGTTTGCACACATTGTGCGTGGGTTTCAACGCTGACGATTACCACTTCGAAAACAGCTGTATGTCACAGGTGTTATTCAATGGTGGTTCCTTTGATACTTACAGGCGCCTCGTCAATCTTCTCAACTGTCCGTTCTTGACCACACTGTCAATTCACGAACCTTCCCGAGCTTCTTGTGAGTCGTACTCAGATCATGCGCAATTGAAACTACCATTCGACACCTTCATCATGCGATCCCCCAACATAGAAAGTCTTCGACTTCATGCAGTGTGCCTCACGGCAGGCGATGTGATCGGGTTCCTCAGAAACGTGCCACATCTTGTTGCATTGGAGCTCGTACTTGAGGATGTGACAAAGGAATTTTGGTTAGAGATGGGTAGTGGGGACTCGGTTCCGAAGCTGAGGGACCTCCGCTTCGAGACCCATTCGCAACACTGTGATTGGCTTGCATTTGGGGAAATGCTTCAGCGGAGGAAGAGTCGCGGACTTTGGTCTGCGTACGCGAAGCTCAGGATGCAAAAGGTACCGAGGCTAGATATCCGTCTACTGGAGCAGTTACAGGTCGAAGGACTGGCGGTTCGAGTCGTGTATTCGAGTCCAACGAATGAGGAGGTGGAATTACTTGGGTATAGGATTCAATCTTAGCTACTTATGTCCTGTTTTCCTTTGCTCACCTATTGCGAAGGTCCAATGTTTGCTGCTCCACTATACGACAGATATGCCTGTTTATCGTACATTCACAACAGCTCCGTCTCTCTCGTTACCATTTCTGGACCACGTTCGAGGAGATAATGGTGAAAAGATGAAATTACGAGGTATTGCACCGACTTTGCTATGCGTACATAAAGATTGAACGTCCTACGGTACCAGAGGTTATCGCTAGCATCGGGTGTTTCTCCGATTGCTTCCGTTCGTCTGCTCAGCTCGCTTACGCTGCAATCAGGTCGTATTATTGAATTCAAGACGGTACTGCACAACAGTTTCGACGTTTGCGGCAAAGAACGGCATAAATTCGATGTCGATGAAGTAGCATGCTCTGGAAAGATCAATGATCCACCATCGGGTACTTGAACGTGGTTTGAGAGGTTTCCTGAAAGTGTCTGGCAAGAGAAGTTGTTAGACATGCCGTTATCCGATGGAATGACCATTCTACGTGCCTAGTGGCCAGTCACAATACGGCGCGGACAGGTGAATGAATCTGGAAGTCATCGAATATGAAGGTAAAAATAAAAAGCGAGGATGCAGAAGTACTCACGGGGTGGTCAAGATTACTTATGTATGTATATACAAAGTCTAGAAGCCCATCAGTCCGCCGTGTCGCGAATTCGTGCCTGCCTTCACCGACCGCCCAAGTCTTCAAAGGGTCGCAGTAGTCAAAAATAACTATGAACGAACGAGTTAACAAATATGTAAGGTGTTTTATACGTCGCTGAATCTCGACTAATCGAGGTTGAGAGAGCACGATCAACGTGAATTCGTATACAGAGTAGGCAAGACATATATGAGGTCCGGTAAATACGGCCGAGACAGCTTTATACGGTCGAGGACGCAGGTAACTAAGAGCAAGCAGATAAGTGATGAGGAAGGACGATAAACCGGGTGGGTGCCTTACAGAACAAGATATATTTTGCATAAATTAATGATATTCCATGAAATCAGACAGAAGATGACCAAGTGATATCTATAAATGTTGAGCAAAAGTCAAAGCAAGAACCTAGACTAGCAGAACCCCTTACCGGATGGTGTCACTCTATATCCAACCAACTCTACTTCCTCATCCTGACGCCAGTACTTCGTCGACGGACGTACATACACAACTCTTACCGCTAAACCCTCTCGTTGAAGTTCCCGCAAGTCGTCTGGATCCAGATCCGGCATTGCGACATCGTCGACCTTGAGATATGCAGATCGGAGTCGGTCCCCATGTGCATGCATATGCTTCCTTCGAGACCATAACATCTCCTCGAACGCACCCTGCCTAAGATTAAACTCAGGCAGATCCAACCGAAGATCTTTTAACTTTGGTAACACCTCCCTAGTACCCAACGCCTCCATCAACCGATTTGTCACTGCCATCTGTCCCTTCACAGCGTCTACGACGTCTAACGCGAGGAGATTGGGCATTTTGCCAAGGATTGAAAGTAGCTGAGAGTCTTCAAAATACGCGGATACGAGGGAGAAAGATTGAATGACGGGACAGCGAGCGATGAAGGACTTGAACTCGCTTGCAAAGTCCCTAAACGTGTCCATAACGCTGCTTGCCCGCCATTCCGGATATTGCTCCACTTCCACTGACATCTTCACTGATAGGCGATTAAGATTGGGTGCACTAAGGAGATTGACGAGTTTCCTATATCCATTAAAAGTGAACTCCTTGCATCCAAAAGGAAAAGGACCATATAAAAGTTTGATATCCAATGACCGGAGGTCTTCGAGGACGGGTATGGTCGCTAGTGGGTTGCCGAAAAATTGGATGGAAGCATTCAACGATTGAAGGTGCGTGGAAGTCGACAGGATCAGACTCAGCATGTCAATACTTATGGTATTGATGGTGAGGCCGGTCAATTGAGGTATCGGAAGAGGTTTATATCCAAAACGTCCGAAACTGGAAATGCCAATGTGACGTAGTGATGACGATTGCTTATTAAGAGCCTCGACAACCTTGCACGGATCCTCGTTATAGTCTGCCTTTACGATGAGGGTGGTAAGGGCGGTGAAAGGACGGGAGAAATGACGCTGAAATAGATCGGTGATTTTGACACCACCCTTAGTAAGATGGAGAGCGAGACGAGTGATACGATGTGCGTTTTGCAAGACAAGAAGGATGAGTTCAAAATGGATTGAGGTGAGTGTCAGTGCGCCTACTTGTAGGGCGATTGATAGGGCCGAGGCCTTTGAGCGTTGAAGGTACAACTTCAAACGTTCAGGGGTCTTGGAGGAGTAAGGAGAATTGGTGATTTCGATGAATATAGAGGCCCAGAGGGCGGGGGTGCACAAAGTAACATCTCTCCAATGTCGGCATACTCTGCCGAGGCGGGAGCCTGTGGAAAAGGACGCATAATCCGTGTCATACATATCATGGAACGGATCGACTGGATGGATGTAGGTCTGAACCTGAGCTTCAGGCATGGAAGAAGGATCATCGACAAGCAGAAAAATGGCGGAAAGGATTTCTGAGGGAAAAGAGTCAGCGGCCAGCGATGCTGATAGTTGTTGACTCATGACCTGTCAAAGCTATCATCTATATGTACGAGTCGCGGCAGAAATCAGACGTACGCTTTGACTGATGATGGTGGTTGCAGTTCAAGAAGGATTGTCACGTCACACCGGTCGACCTTGTCACTTGCAGGGTCATTCAAATCTGTCAATGGTCAAATTGAAGGCGCTCATAGTTGGCATATCAGTTCTCACACTACCGTTTTATTCATCAACATGAAGTATGGGAATCAGCATAATGGCTTGTGAGTGTATATCACGCATAAGGCGGGTCATCATACTCACGGAACAGGTTGCTACTTCAGAAAGGATTTCTGAAGGAAAAGAGTCAGCGGCCAGAGATGCTGAGTTGCGTGACGGCTGTTGACTCATGACCTGCCAAAACTGTCATCTTCTATATGTATGAATCTCGGCAGATACCAGACATACGTTCTGACTGGTGGTGGTGGTTGCAGTACAATAAGCAACCAGCAGAAAGGACAGAAAGTCACAGTGGGACCCCGTGTCAGGTACCCCCCTTGGAGTTTTCCAAGCTTTCGACTTGTTCTTGGGTTGCCAAGAAAGGCACACATGACAGAGATTGACAGTTTCTTCTCGCTACTCGGGTGTTACAAAAGAACTTGAACAAAAGAGAATACAGGTCAGGCAAAGATTGTTACCCGTTAATGCGCGTGGGTATGTAAAAACAACCGTGTGTGGTAGTTGATGTACGAAATCACGGCGGGCGCGCAGTGACAGAATGGCGGCATAAGCCAAAGAACGTAAATATACCCATTGATTATCAACGCTCGCCCATACCATATTAGTATAAACCAGGCCTGCAACTTAGGCAGTTGGGGCTCATTTCCAATTGGATGTACATGACGCAGGAGCAACAAGAGTTAGACAGGAAGAAAACTGGGGAGTAACAGATAAGTAACGTAGAGTCCAAATCAAATGGTCCATTGATAAATAAAAGATACCTATGAACACGTAAGGGTGGAGAATAAAGATGGGGGGGTTTGGGGGGGGGGTAAGCGCAAATAAATATGACCTGGCGACGAGATGAGAAGAGGCCAAGCAGAAATATTAAGTACATACCTGGCGACATAGACAAGGAGAGTCTCTCACGCCATCATCGCCAGTGCAACAAATCTGCGGGAATTGCCGTGAGTATGACGAAATCACGATGACACGATGGCAGCACTGACCAGTGCTCTCACTACCTTGGCAGGGGAGGCTCGATGCGTCGTGAGCTCGTGACTCGAACTCGCCGAGATCAGTTATCTCACCGGCCGTAGGCCGTGTGATGTCATCACCATCAAGCAGAAATTTGGCCGAGTACAAGACTACGACGACCGCGCAGCGGTCCCACTGCGCGAAGCGCCCCCTAGCTCCCCTACGCTGAGCGCAGCGAAGCGTCAGTTAGGGGTTCGGGGTTAGAGGGGGGGGTGCAGGGGGGGGAACGCCCCCGCAAGAAAGGTTAGGGGATTGAAGATATTTATAAGGGGGGGTGCGGGTGGGAACGCCCCGCGGTTAGTGGTTAGGGTTAGGGGTTAGGTTTCTATGTATTGTAGAAGCTAAAATACAGCAGGATAGTTCAGAAATGTAGGTATAAGTACACGAAAGTAGGTTTTGACGACGCGACGCGTCGTGTCAGGTGAGTGGAAAGATGATGTCATTACGGTGATCTCGCCGTTATCTCTTATCAGCTCACGACGCATCCAGTATGGACTCCTACCTTGGCTGTGGAGAGAGCATACTTATACCATTCACAGTGCTGAGTTATGCGTTGAGCTCGCTATTTATAGACCCGCAGGCTCATCTAGAATCGATCGCTCGTGGAAGAACGCGCGCTTCTTTGATGTCAGTTGATGCTCGTTCTTGATGCCACGTGGCTGATTGTCTCTCTTTTCTCGACGACGATGTTGCTGCGCCTACTACTCTCCAACGACGAGCGTCCTTCCAGCTAGTCTTATAGTTATCGCGCCCCTCTTGCAGCAGAATTATTACATAATATTTGGCCATGTTTGCCTGAGCCCAGAAAACGTTCACTTCCCTCCCTGTACTACATTCTGATAGAAGAAAATTTCATTTGAACATTCAAGACCCATCTCGAGTATGTCAGAAACCTGTGGAATTTTTCCGCGGCCAAACGAGTCCCGCTTCCCCCAGAAATAGCCGAAATCGACGAAAATATAGATGAATATGAACTCTTTGACAGCCGAGTCGTATCAAAGGGCACAAAAAAATCAGAATGAGATTTATATATGCTCAAAAAACATCTCAGAATATTTTCTGGGATAAGATAGGTTGAGGTTGCTCCAAAGTAGGCTTCAAAGTCGTTTATTGCAGTTGAAGCGCTGGCGACGGCAAATGCCGAGGTGCTCATGTGCCATAGCTTCGCACTCGACATCATGGTGTCTACACTTTGCTTGACAGTAATTAAAGCTCTCGAAAATTTACAGGTCAGCTCTGGATGTGACATGACGCCACCACAGCAGAGACATCGAAGAAAAACGCCCCAGAGATGCGAGAAAGAGAAGAGCTTTGAATGCACGTGAGATAATATTAGGTAATAATTATGAGCGCTGCAAGAGGGGGGACATAATTAGCAGACGTCATACAGCAACGTACATGCTTGCATCGTCACGGTGGGTACAAGTCTGCCTAGGGGAGACTACCCTCCAGCAGCCTTTATCGAAACCACAAACATACCTACAGGATACCATTGAAGGGATGGAGGACTTGTCATCGAACTGAAAGGTAAGGTATCTTCTCGATCTGTTTTTATTATCTGATGGTCATACTAGGAACGTATGGAGCATGCTACCAGAGAATATTGACGATGAAGGGTTTAATGGAGAACCGGTATGTATCACTGTTCTACTTTGTGATTCAGCACATAATCCATTGGATACTCCACCACGGATACCAACGCTGACACTGCAAAGATGATGGGCTGCATGGTATTGGTGGTACGCTCTTCGTTGCCTTCTATTGCCGTAGTCTACGAGCTAACGTTCTTTGTGTAGAAGCAATTCCCGAATCCGATCCCGGGAACGCAACCCCCGTACTGTCCTCACAGAAGAAATCAAGCGTTGCTCTTCTTTTACCTCTAGCTTCCCGTACGCCAAAGCTTTCCCACTCCCCCGTTTTCACTCTAGACGCTGTCCTGTCTCCTACCCGCCATCCTACGCAACCCCACGCACGTTGACATCTTCCAGTGCATAGCATCAGCACCTCGTCGACCCCTTTTTCCAACCCGCCTTTTCAGTTGTCCGGTTTTCTCTCCATTTTCTCTCCCTGATCACGGTTCTACTTCATCTCGGAGCACTATCATCGCTTGGCTTTGTCCTTACCTATCTCTCGTTTCAATCTCAGCCTGTCTAGTACTTTCGACCTTTCACCTACGTTGCTCAAGATCTCTCCGCCGCCTGCCGATGTTGTCTTATCCTCCTTACACCTTCTGTATGCCTATGCCGCGAACCATGCTCTCGAAAGGGTACATTTCACTGAAGAGCAAGAGATAAGTACAAAGTTTCTTTAGTGACGATGTCGAGGGGCGTTATGAAGGTGGAATGGTGGTGGTATGGTGTGCGGTATGTGTTTGTTCTTACTTTTCGGGTCAGTACTAACTCTGGAACCGGAAACAGACATATCATGTCTAAACTTCAAAGATGAACTGGTTCCACTTCAACCCCTCCCCTCACGCCGTCTACCCAACGCCACATCTATCCTGTCCTTGGCCGAGAAATACCCCCCTCCTCCTATCCACCTTTGAACATTTATTATTTACCAACCATCCTGACATTGCTCAATACGCCTCATATCTCGTGCATGCACGGAGGTCGAAGATACAATCGTTCAGAAGGAGTTTGATGGGCGCGGCGGGGTGCATTACATCTCTATCATTATGCCCTGACTCACAAGCTACCACAAAATTCATCTTATACCTCTGCATCCCAGAGCCTTCCACCCACTGGTGCATGCATCTTCTCCTTGCTCGTTTCCTTTTCCTCGTTCACTACTGTTCGCTTTATCTGGACGATTCACTTCCATGCATACCTCAAAACACTTCCATCCTGTTCATGCACCAAAGCATCTCGATCACTCGTCCATGAGCGTAACTGGATTCCTGCCTTCTGCCTTACCTCTTCGTACACGGATCGTGTTGTTCTCTCCCGCTCAATACACCACTTGTATGCCGACAAGGTTGAAGGGAAAGAAAAAGAACACTGCAACCTTACGCCATGAACCAACGGTTCATGAAGAGTGCAAGCAGTGTGAGATGTTAGAAGGAGTGAACGGTCCGGGTATGCCTTTCGTTACTTGGCTTTTATATGTCGTCGTACTTATAAACCATAGAATCTGTTTCGTTTCTCTTGGAATGCAAGAAAGTGACACCTATCGCGCCTAGATTCTCACACCGGGCGAACTAGTACCCTTGTTCCTCGTCGCATGTGGATCTTAGGTGATGGGATTTTGGTTATAGGATCTTAATGTTGAGGAGGGTACGAGGGATTGTTGGTTTAGATATTCCCAGTTACTTTGTCCGTTCTCGGGTGGTATCCAACAGTAATACATCTGAACGTGTATGGTACAAGTATCAGTCCAGGAACACTACAGCGAAGGTAGGATTCTTTATTTTATTAGATAAACTTCAGTCCAAAAAATTTTGCAAACGGCTAAAAGGCAGTTAATAAAAGCTCAGAACTACTTGTGGATCTCCCTGGCTGGGAGTCGAACCCAGCTTTCTCGCTAGCTAGCCAATGAATGACAGGCTCGTATACTAACCGATATACTACCAGGTAACTATACAATTATTTAAACGTAATCGTGCGCGCTAATGTTTGCAATAGGAACAAGGAGTGCGGATAAACTTGAAGCTTGAAGCGTCCTGAGATAACATTAAAGCCACTGTCGACAAATAAATACTTTAGATTCAGAAATCGATGTTGAAGATGAAGCATTGGAGAACGACTCGAACTTTCAGAAGAACCAAGGTCGAAACGCCTCGAAAATGATGTATTGGAGAAGCTTCTAAAGCGTGGTAGGACTTTCTCACAATGATATCGTCTTCGATTGGCATTCCTACAGCTCGGTAGGTTAATGGTACCTGAACTCAACCTTCAAGATCTGATAGAGTTGCAGGATGATGGCTTAGCTGTTAAGGTGCTTACGGTCAAGAAAAGGTGAAGCACTTGTGTATGCTGTGGGATAATAGTTCTGGATGTAGTTTTCGTGGATGATTCAAATGCTTCTCGCTGTCCATTTTATCACCTTATGCGCATTGAAAGGATTCATAGTATTAGGAGCCCCTTTTCGTGTATGACTACATTTACTTGTGATTGTACAAGCCTTTGAGAACACGTTTCACTCCTTCACCCTTCTGGTGTGTACGGAGACATACTTTTACCATCGATGGGATCAGGTGTAAGACATGAAGCAGTAAACCTCACGTAACAACTAGGTATCTCCTGTGTATCCAAGAATCTCGTCCTCGTATTGCACCACTCGAACAGCAAAACCTTCGCGTTGCAGCTCTCGCAGGTATTCCAGGTCCAAATCGGATACCGTTGTACGGGTTACCCTCAGACACGCAGATTGGAATAAGCGCGCCGATTCAGTGGACCTCGCACGCCGCAACATACCCTCGAATGCACCCCTCTCGAGTTCATGACGAGAAAGCTCGAGACTCAAGTCCCTTAACCTCGGTAAAATCTTTCCGTCCCCCAATTCCTGCAAGAAATCCTTGGTGAAGAGAGTACGCCCCCTGCCGGAAATGTCGGCGATGGAAAACACCACGACGTTTGTCATCCGTTCAAGGATCGACATGACATGCTGCTCATCTAAGCATGATGAGATGAGATGGAAATCGACGATATTGGGACATCGGCCAACAAAGGAAATGAGTTCGTTGGCGAGGGACTGAAGAGAATCGTTCAGGGTTCGCAGCGCATCTGGTCCTCTACGATGGGATTGCATATCCTGTTGTGGCATCTGAAGTAATAAGCTACTCAACGCAGAAAAGTTGAATAGCCCGAAAAGATCCGGAAAGGCGTCAAACGTGACAAAGTCATCGTCCCTAAATCTAACGCGTAGCGTTCGAAGGTGCTGGAGAGGGGGTATTGACATATCCGGGGAAAGGGTCGTGTCTTTGTCTTCCGAGTTATCAACGAAGGTGACGTCTGCTGATTGAAGCATGGGAAAGGTGATCAAGATGGTACTGAAATCATCGGCGTCTGTATCTCCGAGGACGATGTTAGTCAGGTGAGTGACTGGGAAGTATGGTGGAGAAGGTGTGCAAGGCCACATGTGGATAGTGCGTAGAAAAGGAGATTCAGAGAATGCGGCCACTAGCTCACATGGATCATCGCAGTTTTCTACCTCCACAATGAGCTTGGTGAGCTTGGTGAAATGAACCTCCAGGTCCGCCATTATAGAGATGAATTCGGGCAAATCGTGGTCGGTGAGATAGAGAGCGAGGTTGAATACGCGGTCGGCTTGTTCACGGAGGAGATGAAGGATTTGGACGTAACTCGGCAAGGTGTCGTTATCCTCCGATTCATATATTGCAACCATAAAATCGATATGATTGATATACTCCATATGCAGTACAACGGACAGAGGCTGAAGCTTTGACCGCTCAAAATGTATTCGAAGACATTCTGGGTCTTGGGGATAATGATCACCGTCACTCGATACAGAAATGAATATCGATGACCAAAGAGCCGGGGTTTGTAATGCAATGTTTCTCCAGTATCGGCATGCACTTCCTAAGAGACGGCCTGTGGAGAACGAAATCTTGGAGCTTGAAATGCTGCTATCGTCCAGATTGAATACGAAGATGCTGGAGAGGATCTCAGGAGGAAATGTGATCAGTGCCGATTTGAATGAAGAGACAGCGTGCAGAGCTGCCGACGCTTGCGAAGCGATTTTAGAGCTGTGTGAGATGATTTGACATCAGCGCTGCAAATTTTGTGAGAGGATGCATACACACCTTTTTGCCCGTCAATGGTTGCGGTTGCGGTTCAAGGAAGACATGTTACACTTGTCACTTCAACGTGATCATTTCATTCCATTGCCGATGTCGACAACGTGCTGTGAATTTTGCCGTCTATGGATCATCGGCCGGGAAGCAACAGGTAGGACTGAGAACACAGGGACACCAAGGGCATACACACAGATTCCCTTGAGCTTTTCCTCGTCTCTTCTCTCGGAATGCTCTCCCACTCGGTCAAAAAATCCATATTCCTGTATGTACCTTTTGCCACAACTCTTCGTCATTCCGAGTCATACATAGTCACCTCTCCAAAACCCATTCCCTGATCTGTAATCTCAAAAATGACTGCACCAAATCACGGAAATCCAAAAGTGGTGCATGAGATTTGGTGCACTTATTCAACGCAATGTTGCGATGTTGCGCCAAGCAATGAATACCATCTGTGCTTGGTCTTTGGAGAAGAGCATGTCGTATTCATGGATATTACATTGATAGACCTGCATACGACACGCCTCGCCAGGGAATTGTATGGTGACTTTGAACTTGAGTGAGTCTTCTTTGTCCGGGATGGTACATTTATAGACCACTCACAAGAGAGAGAGAATCCCTGCAGTTCCGTATGTGCGTCGCAATCATTGTCCAGAATAGTCTTGATGAACGAACGAGGAATGTACTTCAAAACGTGAACTTCGACCATAAACTGTAGAGTGTGATCGAATACTCACTCGAGATTTTCCAAACGATACGGAAGGTCATGGTATTCATTATCTTTCAAGACATCGAACTGACGTTCAACCGCCTGTTAAGGTGTAATGTACGTGCCGTTCTCGATACCCTCATCGGTAGGAAGATGTCGCCTTGACGGAATGTGAAACTTGAACACAACTATGGCCACCTTAGTGTCAAGTTGAGATTTAATATCGACACGTGCAAATCATACTCCCAGGCGTTTGTCCTCACCACTGGCACCAGTCCGAAGTGATCTGACAAGCACAAAGTCGGATTCTACTCCGAATAGGCTTGGTACCGTCCTGAAGCCGTCAATGTGATGTATATGCGAAGGACGTTGTGACGAGAAAGGCATTGTCCAGCCTGGCGTTAGAGGCTTTACTTTGGCTGTGTAGAAAAGAGCAAGTTGAAGCATGTAGCGATACGCGGGTTCGGTGATTGTGATGGGGTACGCATTTGAACACGAGCAAGACCTTGATGAAGAGAACGTTAAAGCATTGAAAATAGTATATGGTAGATGAACATACCATGATCGGTGTCGTGGTGAATTCCGGACATGGGTGAAGAAATAAGAGAACACTGGGGCTTACTCTTAATTCAGAGTAGATGCAAACGTGATTAATAAGCATGAACAAAATCGGGAACGTCGAATTCTTGATACCTTCTGGCTGGGAGTCGAGCCCTGAGATCACGCCTTATTTGAAGGTGAGTGCAGAAACCGATAGAATACCAGAGGAGTTGCCAAAAATGTCTCTACTGGGTCGACGACACTGCGGGTGTGGGAGGTATCAGTTAAGCCTAGTGACCCACTTACAAAGAGATATTGTGTGGACCCTATTCCGTCAGACCTATATCTGGTGGGAACGAGGCTTAATTTGTTCGTGGTCTAGATGAAAGATGCTATGAGGTGATTGGGGGATCCAGAGAACGCGTGTCGCTGACCTGATGTAAGGGCATAGAAACCGTGAAGGAGAGGTACATGAGCTTGGCTGGGAGTCGAAATTTGATAGGTTCTCATCAAGAAAATCCCTACGGGGACAGCCTAAACCAATACACTGTCAGTGATGTAGTATTTCCTGAATGGTGAGCTTATATGGAACTCGAGACTCACTCGATAGCATAGGCACACGTAATAGAAACCAAATAGAAACCGATACACGACGAGTGGACGTATATGTGGTGTCACGTTCTGCTTGCTGTGAGTAGAAAAAAACGAAATACAAGCACCCAGAAGTAAAACGTGAGCGCTGTGTCATCAAGGGATAAGTAACACAGTATACCTAATCCAGCTCACCTCGTGGATGTTCCATCTTTGAAGGTGTATTTACCCTCCGGATGTTAAACCCACACCTGGCGTATTTGGGCTCGCGAGCAGGATGGTCCAGGATCAAGCGACGAGCAATCAATGTGATGACATCACAGGAAAGGTAACTCGGCCACGTGGCAATGGTTCAAGTTGCTTGTTTTCTTCGACGGCCATGAGCTCTTCATATCGCCCTCGGTTTGCCTCCAGGACAAGATACTTTAGATGACCATCCGGAAGACCAGGTGCGTTTTTCGCTGTCATGAGTAATTTCAAGGAGAACTAACCAGGGGCACCACAGAAAAGTAACTGAAGGATTACCAACAGTTTCAGGCTTGGATTAGGTGGTATGTTCCGTATTTTCCTTCATTTCTTTGTATCTGAAGTTCTCGGTCTAGCTTTATGATGCTGGTAACCCTGCTCGGGATGGTTCCGAATGAATTGTGAACGAGAGGCTAAAGAGACCGACGCTCCTCAAGGTATGGTTTTCACCAGATGTACCGATACTTTTACAAAAACATGCGATAGTTATCAGAACGACTTTTGCAATAATCTGTGACAAGGGCTTTTGCAAAAGTCGGAGACAAGTAATCAAGGCAGATAAGAGGTACTGTCCGCTTTGGGTGCTTCCAAATAGGGAAGGATGATTCCCACACCTTCTGGAAAGGGAACAGGCCGCTTTTTTGAGATCTGGAGATATTCCCACACCGCTTTTGGCATCCCAAAATGGAAGGTGCTCTTTCCATGATGTAACAGTGCGCTTTTTGGGCGCTTTT